TGTTTCCCAGGCTGGAGTGCAGCTGTACAGTCACTGCTCACTGCAACCTTGAACTCCTGGGCTCAAGGGATCCTCTTGCCTCAGCCTCCCAAATAGCTGGGACTACAGACATGTGCCATGCTTGGGTGATATGTTTTGTTTATTTATTTTTTTTCTAGAGACATTGTCTTGCCATCTTGCTGGGGCTGGTCTCGAACTCCTGGGTTCAAGCAGTCTCCCACCTTGGTCTCCTGAGGTGTTGGGATTACAGGTGTGAGCCACTACTCCCGGCATAAATTTGGTTTTCTATAGAAGGAGGGAGGCTGACAAATTGGTAATCTGATAAAGAATTTCAAGGTCTGTTCTTGAGGATTCTGATATTTTTCCATGTTTGAAGTGTTAGCAAAGGACATTAAAAAGAAAGTTTTAAAAAAAGAACAGATAGAGAAACTAATATATTTGAGTTACTAAAAAGGAGGGATAAGTTTTTTTTGTTTTTTTGTTTTTGTTTTTGAGACAGAGTCTCACTCTGTCACCTAGGCTGGAGTGCAGTGGCACAGTCTTGGCTCACTGCAGCCTCGGCCTCCCGAGTTCAAGTGATTCTCCTGCCTCAGTTTCCCGAGTAGCTGGGATTACAGGTGCCCACCACTGCACCTGGCTAATTTTTGTATTTTTAGTAGATACAGGGTTTCACCATGTTGACCAGGCTGGTCTCAAACTCCTGACCTCAAGTGATCTGCAAGGAGGGACAAGTTTTATTAGGCATTAGGGGAGAGTAGAAGGGATTACCTGGGTAAATGATGACAACAAGCAAATGGCAATGAAGGATAATAATTTATTTTCTGATTAGAACTCTGTAGTACTTTGATAGAAAATTGTTAGCAAGCTCAAGGAGAAAGGTGAATACTCAACCAACCTAGAGTTTGAATATTAATTCAGTTATTGAGAACATTTTCTTTAGGAGTATCATATAAATTGACATTTAATTAATATGGTCAATTACTGCTACCCTTTAAAGTTATTTTAATGGATTAAGTTAAAAACAGAAGAATAGATAGATATTAGTAAACCAGAAATAACAGAGGTCTCAGTAAAGGTGTCAGGAATATGTTGAACCCTCTTTATTCAGAGTTGAGCTTCTAGGGGGCAATAGTTGGAGGGGTCATAGATCTACAGTTCTCAGTGGCTGTTAAGTTTATACAGAATATAAATTAGTATGTTGGATAAGGGAATCAAGTCTGAGAAATAGGCTGATAGAGGCTGTATTTAAGATATAAGAGTAATTTAAAAAATTTATGTATCTTCTAGCATTAGCTTCAAGGCTAGAAATTTTTTTTCACTTGTGTTTACAGGTAGAATTGTTTTTTTTTTTTTAATTAAAGACGGGGTTTCACCATGTTGGTCAGGCTGAGGGAGACCTCAGGTGATCTGCCCACCTTGGCCTCCAAAGTGCTTGGATAACAGGCATGAGCTACCACGCCCGGCCTACGGGTAGAATTCTTAATTTAAAAAGTCAGTTGAATATCAAAACTGTCTCATATTCTTCAGACTGGAAGATTATTCTGTAGTGTAGAAGAAAACCTTTTCTGCTTACAAAGCAAATGGTAAATACTCTAAAACAGGGGTTGGCAAACTTTTTTGAAATAAAGGGCCAGATGGTAACTATTTTAGGTTTTGTGGGCCATGTATGGAATCATTTTCATATTATTCTCTGTGTGTTTGTGGTGTGTGTATTTTTTTTTTTTGGCAGGGGGATCGGGGGGCCTCATGATGTTCCCCAGGGTAGTCTTGAACTCCTGGTCTCAAGTGATCCTCCCATCTCAGCCTTCCAAAGTGCTGGGATTATAGGAATGAACCACGATGCCCAGCAAAGAGAGATGGCATTGCAAGTAAGCATAGAGATGTGGACAGATTTGAGAGGTTTTTTTTGAGACGGAGTCTTGCTCTGTCACCAGGCTGGCATGCAGTGGCACAATCTTGGCTCACTGCAACCTCCGCCTCCTGGGTTCAAGTGATTCTCCTGCCTCAGCCTCCTGAGTAGCTGGGATTACAGGCACACCCCACCATGCCCAGATAATTTTTGTATTTTTAGTAGAGAGGGTGTTTCACCATGTTGGCCAGAATGGTCTCGATCCCTTGATCTTGTGATCCGCCTGCTTTGGCCTCCCAAAGTGCTGAGATAGCAGGTGTGAGCCACCACGTCTGGCGAGAGACGGTTTAATTACGTTTTCTTTTGTGTGTGTGTATTTTTTACAATGATTTTCTGGTAAGTGTCTGGGCCATATAAAAACAGGCAGGGGTTCACATTCTGGCATGGAACCTTAGTTTGCCAGCCTCTACACTAAAACCCTTTTTTCCAAATGTTCGACTGTTAAATTTTATTATAATGCTTATCTTATTAAAAATAGCGTATGTTTCTAGATGGAGCCGGGGGTTCTTGAGACCAGATTTTTGTGCAATTTGGGCAAAAATACTAGATTCTGAGAGTTTGTAGAGAACATTGAGTTGAAGGAATGGAGGGTTCTTCTGTCAGGTCAAAGACAAGATCATACATTTATTGGAATGGCAGTAAGTCTCAAGAGCTGTAAGAATAGAGTTCAGGGTGAGCAGATATTAGTTACCTAGGGTATTCAGTTTCTTTTCCCATTAGTATTTTTTTTCCCATTGCCTGGGTAAGAAATTTATCACCTTTCAGCCTCCTAGCCCTTTCCTCCATTTTAATGGAAATGAATGCTGAGTAGGATTGGCCCCAAAAGGATCAGGGCATCTAGCTTTTACCCTGGCTCTTCTGCTGACTTGTGTGACATTTGACTTCTTTGAACTTAAGGTTTTCATCTATAAGTTAAGACTGTTTAGATAATTTCTTAGCTGTCTTCCATCTTGAATTCCTTATTTTTGCGATTCTCACAAATGAGCTTGATTTTATTTGCCTCTATTCCGTTCTGTTGGTTCTGCTCTTTACCTCAATCTGTGTCCACTGGTCTGAAGCCTCTATTACTTAAATATAACTGAACTGTTTCCCAAATTACTCTGAATTGTAATCTGAGGATAGGAATTTCATTGACTCTACTCTGTATCAGGGAGAAATACTTCAACAAAGCAAAGTAATAACCCACCCCTTCTAGTGTCAGATGTTTTCAACAACAAGATATAGTTGATTAGGAATATATAGTATCAGACAATTTTTTGTACTAAAAGGACAATATAGTGTTAAATAGTATACTAATTTTTACTACATTCATCATATCTATAAGGCAGCGTTAGGGTTGGTTCTTAACATAGATTATGTTACGTATTTTAGGGATGGCAAATTTTAAAGAAATTCCATCTGTAGCTTTGATGCTGTTATTTTGTCCATTCTTTGGAAGCATATTATTAAAACAAATGAAAATTTTGGTCTTCAAACTGATAGTGGAGTTAGATTAACATTAAATATTTTCCCCAAAATATATACTTATCAGAGCAAACATGTAATTTTACTGAACAGTTGTATAGGCACACATACCTTGAAGTCAGTATAGTGTAACTATTATAAGGATGAATGTTGCTTACTGTGCCCATTATTTTGTGTCCTTTTGTGGTTAAGTGTTTTTTAATAAAAAGTTTGCAAAACACTTTTCAAACTAAACTTCTTTTCAGTTTGTAAACTAAAATTTTTCTAAGCTAGGCCCATATTTTCTCTTAGCTAGTAAAATTAGTCAGCACTTGTCCATGTTCAAGTTTGTCATGGCTTCGAATAAAAGAATAAGAGCGGTCAAAAGGCAACATAGAGAGCTTAAAAAAGTAGTGCTTGTCCCACCTTCCCAAGGCCTGAGTAGGACTTACTGGGCCAGGCGTTAAATAAGTTAGCAGGTAACAAGTAAAGGAGCTAGAAAAGAATTACCATAAAATAAGATTAGATTTGAAGTAATTCTCAAGAGCTAGGTGCTGGAAGGCAGTGGTAGGTCTAAACCTTGAAGACCTCCACAAGTAGGGTAGCTTTTACTGTCTTAAAAACTTTAGGCTGGACGTGGTGGCTCATGCCTGTAATCCCAGCACTTTGAGAGGCCAAGGCAGGTGGATCACTTTAGGTCAGGAGTTCAAGACCAGTCTGGCCAACATGGCAAAACTCCATCTCTACAAAAAAATGCAAATATTAGCCACGTGTGGGTGGTGCATGCTTGTAGTCTCAGTCAGCTACTTGGGAGGCTGAGGTGGGAGTATCACTTGAGCCTGGGTGGTCGAAGCTACAGTGAACCATGATCATGCCATTGCACTCTAACATGGGCAACAGAGTGAGACACTGTCTCAATAACCAAAATAACAAAAAACTTTATAGCCTTGCTTAAGAATTTCCAATTTTGGCCAGGCTTGGTGACTCACGCCAGTAATCCCAGTACTGGGAGAGGGAAGTGGGTGGATCACCTGAGGTCAGGAGCTCGAGACCGGCCTGGCCAACATGGTGAAACCCTGTCTCTACTAAAAATACAAAAATTAGCTGGGCATGGTGGTGGGCACCTGTAATCCCAGCTACTCAGGAGGCTGAGGTAGGAGAATCACTTGAACCTGGAAGCAGAGGTTGCAGTGAGCTGAGATCAACCACTGCACTCCAGCCTGGGTGGCAGAGCCAGACTCCATTTAAAAAAAAAAAAAATTTCCAGTTTTTTTTTTTTTTTTTGAGACGGAGTTTCACTCTTGTTACCCAGGCTGGAGTGCAATGGCCGCGATCTCGGCTCACCGCAACCTCCGCCTCCTGGGTTCAGGCAATTCTCCTGCCTCAGCCTCCTGAGTAGCTGGGATTACAGGCACGCGCCACCATGCCCAGCTAATTTTTTGTATTTTTAGTAGAGACGGGGTTTCACCGTGTTGACCAGGATGGTCTCGATCTCTTGACCTCGTGATCCACCCGCCTCGGCCTCCCAAAGTGCTGGGATTACAGGCTTGAGCCACCGCGCCCGGCCAAAATTTCCAGTTTTAATGAAGAAGGTACACTGAAGGTTATCAACATGTAATTATGCATATAAAATAGATTTTTTATACTTCTGAATTAATTTCCTATGTAGTTTTTATATAACTTTATTTAAAAACGCTGAAAATTAGTTTGTTAGTAACTAATTTGTTTTATGAATAATACATAATTTGAAGCATATTTGTAATTTAAATATGTTTATTTGAAACATTAGCTTACTAATTAAAAAAATGAGACATTTTAAAACACCCAATTTAATTGGGTTAATCCACTGTAACTGTTTGATTGCAGATGTTTTCCCACACTGATGATCAGCTAACTGAGATAGTGCTATCCAGTACAGTCAGCTCTCAATTATCTGTGGTAATGGGAAACAACAATGCATGGATAATCCTAAAGCAAAATATTTTATACAGTACCTTCCTGTCATCTGCTGTGGCCTGAGCATGTGCTTGGGTTCATGAGGGAAATGTGGGAGTGGGGCTCAGGCTTGCAAAGGAGATGAGAGTCAGTATGATTATCTCAAGGCCATAAGAAGTATCCTTACGGAACCTGGGTTTGGCACTATGTGGCTGAAGTGTCATGGGGGAAGCCTGCAGCATGCAAGATCAGCTTGGCAATATCAGTGAGAAGGATGGGGAAACTAATTAAAAAGGAACGGTGGGAGAATAGATGTTTAAGTCCTACATAATTGCAGTGATATATCTTGGTGTGTTTTTGGTTAATGGGATCTGTAGCGAACAAGAATTATATTAATTGTGTATTTGCATTAGTTTTAGTCATCTTTGCTTGCCAGCAGAACCCATTTTTTACTTGCCACAGGTGAGTGCTATTATTGAGGCCTCTTCTAAATAAGTAGGTATTTTTTGGCATGTAACTAATAACTTCAAAAACCCAGGATAAATTTGAAATACTTACTTTTAAAATTCTTCTTAAATATCAATGTTGAACTTGTACTTCCAGAATTTAACTTAATGAAATTTAACATTGGAATGTCAAAGAATATCATGAGGGCAAAGGCCATAATTACTGATAGGTGTGAATTTGATTTTGGAAAAAACTTAGCGGCCATATTTTATTTAAGAATATGTTACAGGAGCTTTTCTAAATTTATCTTACAACTGACAGTTGGCTATGAATTTATGAATGTTAAAGCTGTGTAATAGGTGTGAGGAGGGAGTGTTCATTATTTTGTCTAATTTGAATATGCCTGTTTTCTACAAGTGGGTGCTCTAATAAAAATTGAAGCAGGTGATTGCTGAAAACCTCAGAGTCTTCTGGCCCAACTTCAGAATGTTCTGCTTATTTATGAAATAGATTTAGTGCTCTCTGTCAAATTATTCAAACTCCAAATAGAACCATAGCCTTTTTCTAAAGGCATACTTGCACCTGCCCACAGGAACTCCTGCAGTTCAACCCTGTGTGGTAGTATGATGGCAAGAAAACAAATTATACTCTTGATAGATTACCTTTATTATTATAGATGTTTTTTAAAAAGTTATTTACTTCAAATATGTATACTTAGGCAAATTAGAGGCATTGATCTTGAATCAACTCTTGTGAAAAAATTAGGAAACAATTGGGATTTGAGAGTGAATGAGATAAGGGACCAGCTGATTAATTAGTCCTTCCTCTGTAGATCATTGGTTCTCCACCAAGGAAGTTTTGCCCCCAAGAGGACATTTGGCAATGTTAGACATTTTTTTTTTTCTTTTCTTTTTTTTTCTTTTGAGACGGAGTTTCGCTGTTGTCACCCAGGCTGGAGTGCAATGGCGCGATCTTGGCTCACTGCAACCTCCGCCTACTGGGTTCAGGCAATTCTCCTGCCTCAGCCTCCTGAGTAGCTGGGATTACAGGCACGCACCACCATGCCCAGCTAATTTTTTGTATTTTTAGTAGAGACGGGGTTTCACCATGTTGACCAGGATGGTCTCGATCTCTTGACCTCGTGATCCACGAGCCTCGGCCTCCCAAAGTGCTGGGTTTACAGGCTTGAGCCACCGCGCCCGGCCCAATGTTAGACATTTTTATTACATCTCATGGTGGGGAAGTGCTGCAGTTACCTACCTGGATGCTTTTCTATATTCTATAGTCCTCAGGACAGCACCCCTTACCCCTGTCCACAACAAAGAATTATCAAGCCCAAAATGTCAGTAGTGCCAGTGTTGAGCTACCCTGCCCTAGTGTTTCTAAGATGTAGGCATTCTTTTGAAGTAGACAGTTAGAAACATCATATACCCAAACTAAATTATTTTGACTTTCTGTACATTTACGCTGTTAAAAAAATTTTGTTTAAAAAATATGCCTTCCATTTTTACTGAGATTTGATGTAAGAAGCAACAACATATATATATTTTTTTAAGAGTTTAATCCTGGGAAACATTGCACTTTCCTGTTGAATGGATATATTTCCTTGTAACTCATTATGTTTCTACTTTGCCGTCTCTCCCTGGAGGCTTAGTGCCACATTTTTTGCTCTATTATAATAATGAGCCCTTATTTTAGGCTTGTAGTTACCTTTTCATTTGCTGCATTGGTCTTCCTTTTATTTTACTGTTATGGTCTGTGGGTTTGGGCTAAGTGTGTGTTTGTGTGTATATGAAGAGAACATATGGGTAATATATAAATGTTCTCAATCCCTATTCCAAGTCTTATCTCTTTAAGATCAAATGAACAGATTTCTTATATATTTATTTATTTATTTTTGTGTTTTGTTTTTGAGACGGAGTCTTACTCTGTCGCCCAGGCTGGAGTGCAGTGGCGTGATCTTGCTCACTGCAACCTTCGCCTCCTGGGTTCAAGCAATTCTCCTGCCTCAGTCTCCTGGTAGCAGGGATTATAGGCACGTGCCACCACGCCTGGCTAATTTTTTTGTATTTTTAGTAGAGACTGGGTTTCACTGTGTTAGCTAAGATGATCTTGAACTCCTCCTGTCCTTGTGATCCATCTGCCTCGACCACCCAAAGTGCTGGGATTATAGGCGTGAGCCACTGCACCTGGCCAGATTTCTGATTTATGTTTTAATGCTTTTTTAAGTCTCAGTTTTTCCAACAATTCAGAAATACGTGCTTGTTATAAAGTATTACTGTGTTAGTGCAAATAATAAGTGGAAGATTACTTCTCCCTGTTCATTCTCCAGAGATTTATTAATATTTCTAGTTTGTGCCATGCACGGTGGCTCATGCCTGTAATCCCAGCACTTTGGGAGACTGAGGCAGGAGCATTGCCTGAGGTTAGGAGTTCAAGACCAGCCTGGGCAACACAATGACACCTCATCTCTACAAAAAATAAAATTAGCTGTACGTAGTGGTGCACGCCTGTAGTCCTAGCTACTCAGGAGGCTTAGGTGAGAGGATTGCTTGAGTCTAGGAGTTCAAGACTGCATTATGCTAAGATTGTGCCACTGCACTACAGCCTGGATGACAGAGTGAGACCCTGTCTCAAAAAAATGTATATTTCTAGTGTGAAGATTTGAAATAAAAGCTATAAGCTTATAATCTTGTTATGGTTGGTCAGGTTTGCATGCTTGTTTCATTTCTGAATAAGTTAAGTACATTTCTAAAAACTGAGGAGAATAAAAACAATGTCTTGAGGATTCTATTTTCTGATGAACTTTTTATTGATCTGACGAAGACATTGTATTTTAAAAAGTCATATTTTATTTTTTGAAGCATACTTAATAGTATGACATAATATTTCTAGTCCATACTTTTTTTTTTGGACTTTTTTTTTAGTCCATACTTTGTCCCGTTGGGACAGAGTCTAGTTCTGTCACCCCGGCTGGCGTGCACTGGCATGATCTCAGCTCTCTGCAACCTCCAACTCTTGGGCCCAAGCAATTCTCTGCCTCAGCTTTCTGAGTAGCTGGGATTACAGGCACCTGCCCCCACGCCCAGCTAATGTTTGTAATTTTAGTAGGGATGGGGTTTCACCATCTTGGCCAGGCTGGTCTTGAACTCCTGACCTTGTGATCTACCTGCCTCGGCCTCTCAAAGTGCTAAGATTACAGGCATGAGCCATGGCACCCAGCCCTAACCCATACATTTAATGATTCGGGATGACTCACTAAACTCTATTCAAGGCCAGGCACATTGACTCACTCCTGTAATCCCAGCACTTTGGGAGGCCAAGGCGGGAGGATCACTTGAGCTTTGGAGTTCAAGACCAGCCTGGGCAACACAGAGAAACCCCAGCTCTACAGACGATACAAAAATTAGGCTAGCATGTTGGAACACGCCTGTAGTTTCAGCTCCGCAGGAAGCTCAGGTGGGATAATCATTTGAGCCTGAGGGGCCAAGGATGCAGTGAGCTGTGATTGTGCCACTCCACTCCAGCCTGGGTGACAGAGTGAGACACTGTCTCATAAAAATAAACTTTATTCAAAGTGTGATTAATTTCTATTTCTCTAAAGTTAAAAATTAAGTGAATTCTAATATTGTCACTAATATGCAAACTTCTCTTTTCTGTTATAGTTTTCCTAAGCAGTTGAAGAGGAAAGCTGTTCTCATAATTAGCCTAACATGCACAGAAAAAGTTCAGAGATTATGTTTTTCTTAAAAATAAATACTTAAAATTATAAGATTACCACCATGGTTAGTTTTTCATTTGATGTTCCATTTATACATTCATTAGCTCTGAAACATAGATCCCATTTTTAAGATCTTCTGGTTGTATAGAGTTAAGAGGCTTTGAAATTGTTTCAGGTTTACCTCATACTTCAGGCAGTTTAGAAAGGCAAATGATCAGTGTTCAGATTTCTTAAAGTAGTATTTCATAATGTCGTGATGATTATGTTTTCATTTCATTGTTACTACCAAGTTCTTTTAGAAAGGGGAAATTGAAGTAGGACTGGGAGGAGTTATTAAAATATGTGTCTGTTGATCGCTGCTTGAGCCAGTAATTGGTGGTAAGACATGTGAACCATTTTAGTGAAGTGATTTTTCAAACTCCTTTGTCTGCAACCCACATGAAAAAATTTTTTTGACATTGTATTCAGTACATAATTCATGTATATATTTACGTAATAAACAGACTTTTCTTTTTTTTTTTTTTTTTTTTTTTGAGATGGAGTTTCACTCATGTTACCCAGGCTGGAGTGCAATGGCGCGATCTCGGCTCACTGCAACCTCCGCCTCCTGGGTTCAGGCAATTCTCCTGCCTCAGCCTCCTGAGTAGCTGGGATTACAGGCACGCACCACCATGCCCAGCTAATTTTTTGTATTTTTAGTAGAGACGGGGTTTCACCATGTTGACCAGGATGGTCTCGATCTCTTGACCTCGTGATCCACCCGCCTCGGCCTCCCAAAGTGCTGGGATTACAGGCTTGAGCCACCGCGCCCGGCCATAAACAGACTTTTCAAGAAACAGTACTTTTTACCTTACTATGTGTACATGTCTGATATTTCTTTTATATTTGGTTTGAAATAATTGCTGCTCACATACCACTAAATTACAGTTTGCTGTTTACAAAATTTTGCTTTGGTGTACTAATTACCAGTGTATGTGGAGAAATTCATCCTCTGTTAGCAAATAGAAGACTGTAAGAATACATTCTTATTCTGTACTAAATTATGTCCTATATGAGCATTTAATATAAATAAGTTAATGAAGTATTTTACAGGCATTTTGTCATGATAAGCAGCTTAGCCCAAGCAACTTGGTCTTTTTGGGTCAAAAAATGGCTTTTTTGCTTTTTGTTACAGGGTCTTGCTCTGTCACCCAGGCCAGAGTGCAGTGGTATAATCATGGCTCACTGTGGCCTCAAACTCCTGAACTCAAGTGATCCTCTCACTTCAGCCTTTCAAATAGCTGGGATCATAAGCATGTGCCATCATACCCAGCTACTTTTTGTAGAGACAGAGTTTTGCCATGTTGCCCAGGCTGATCATGAACTCCTGGACTCAAGTAGTCTGCCTGTCTTGGCCTCCCAAAGTGCTCAGATTACAAGCCTGATCCACTGTGCCTGGCTTTATTTTTAACATTATATTTCAGCCCTCTTTCTTTTTAAATAAAAAGATGTTTAAATATGAATAGAAACTATACTAATAGGTAATTGAGGGCTTTCTTAATCATTATATTAGGCTAAATCTTAATGGAGAGGGAAAAGTTAGCATGCTTTAACCCAGGGGTTGGCAAACTTTTTCTGTAAAGGAGCCAGCTAATAAATATGTCCATTTTTGTGGGCCATACCATCTCTGTTATGGCTCATCTCTGCCATTATAGCGTAAAAGTAGCCTACACAAGCAAGTGGGCAGTATGGCTGTATTCCAATAAAACTTTACTTATGGAAAAGCAAATTTGAATTTTATATAATTTTCACATCAAGGTATTTTTTTCTTTTTTTTTTTTTTTTTCCTCCCAAACATTAAAAAATACAAACACCACTCAGCTTGTGGGCTAGAAAAACTAGGTGGCAGGCCAGATTTGGCCTGTGGGCCATGGTTTACCAGCCCTTGCTTTAACCTAAAAATGGAGAAAATCAGTAGTCCAGAAGAATAAAATTTAGCAAGCATAGCTTAGAAGATGAGTAGCAGTATTAAATTTCTTGGCATATATATTTTGATTTTTGTGGATACTAGAACTATATATTTTTTGTGGTTTTTTTTTTTTACATTATATTTTGCAGACAGTTGATATTCATAAAGAGAAAGTTGCAAGAAGAGAAATTGGTATTTTGACTACCAATAAAAACACTTCAAGAACGCATAAGATTATTGCTCCAGCCAACCTTGAACGACCAGTTCGTTATATTAGAAAACCTATTGACTATACAATTCTAGATGATATTGGACATGGAGTAAAGGTAGGTATAATTTTTTTCAAGCTTTTAAAAGTAGTAACCTGTAATGAAACTAACTCTTAAGAAAATTAAGCTTTTTATCCTTTTTTTTCTAGAGGACAAGTCTTTGGCCAGTTGTGGTTGTGAAGATTCTTTGCTACTATAACTGTTTTACTCTTTTTGCTTTTTCTTAGTGCTGTATTCTCAAGTTTTAAACAATCATCTTTGAATGAATTGTATTTGCTTAGTTATGATAATACCTCCTATGGATCGACTGAATAAGTCTAGTGTAATCTTTCCGATTTTAATTTAATATGGCTGATTAAAAAAATCATTCAGCATGTTATTATTAAAGTGTTTACCTTATTTCAAGTATTTATCGGCGGACTTTTGGCATTAGTTTCCAAAAACAACATATATTAATAAACATGTACTTTGAATTTTTCTAAAGTAATTGTATCCCAACATTTTGGGCAAGAACATTATATCTGATCAGTAGTTTGAAAGACAGTGACCTATCAAATGTGACTAAATAAACCTACATGCTTATAATGATACTGTACAGATCATGGAGTTGATTTTTTTCTAATATAAGCATACTTAAATAAAAAATATACCGTTATGGATGGAAATTAAATCTAAATTTAATGTAGATCTAGGTATAAAGAAAATATACACTGTAAATTTATTTTTAAAATCTTTCCCTTCAGAGTTTTGATGCAAGCATTATTATCTGGAATTTGATATTTAATTTAACTTTTTTGAGACAGAGTCTCACTCTGTCACTCAAACTGGAGTGCAGTGGCACAATCATAGCCCATTCCAACCTTGAACTCCTGGGCTCAAGTGATCTTCCTTGTCAGCTTCCCTGGGACTACAGGCACATGCCACCATGCTGAGCTGAAATTTTTGTTGGGCCTGTCTGTGTTGCCTAGGATGGTCATGAGCTCCTATCCTCAAGTGATGTTCCTACCTTGGTCTCTCAAAATGTTGGGATTACAGATTTGTGCCATTGTGCCCGCCCAATATTTAATTGTATAGCCAATACCTACATGCATTTAGATTGCTATACTAATAAGAACATGTTAAAATAAGATATGTAATTGGATGGCTAATTAATAACTGAACTTTATTCTAAATTGGGAAAATTTATTCAAGGCTAACAACTGCTAATGGAATATTTTAGAATATTGCCAGAATCTAATGCCAAAAAGACACTTAGAATATAAACTATGACATTTGTGTTTGCCCAATTACATTAAGAAAAAGGTAATCCCCCCATTTAAAAAAAATATAATTCGTAGGTTTACATCTCCCGTTCTTATAATTCTCTAAGTAAAATTTATTTTTTTAGGATTCTAGCCTCTTCATTTTTTGACTTTCAGTGCTTAAGGGTCATTAATATGAAGAAATCTTTAATAAAATTAAAATTTTTAATAAAGCAGTGTCTTAAATTCATCAAAGAGACTTCTGTTCATGACACATTCTGCTTTAACCACTCTTTCTATGATCTACTGAAACATTATTTTGTTAATGCTGAATGCTTAACTTGTTTTTTCTTTTTTTCCTTTCTCTTCACATCCTGAAGTTTCAACTAACCTTTCAATGCTTTTTTTCCTTACCTCTTTTATTTGCTCCATTTATGCATTAAGTGGTTGCTTAGATTTAAGGTAAGAGATTCCAGGGCTGGATTTCCATTCTTTGTTCTTATGTAGAATATTACATATGGGGAGTTAAAGAGATAGTTAACACTTGGCCTTTTAAAACCCAATAAATAATTACTCCTTTTTTTTTTTTTTTTTTTTTTTTTTGTCATGCAACTTTGTGGTGTGTCTTCATGTTCCTTGCGGGCAGATATTTTTGTCTGTTTTGTTCACTGCTCTATCCTTTGTGCCTAGAACAGTATCTGACACACATTAGGTGCTTAGTAAATATTTGTTGAATGAATGATTATTTTGTAATGTTAATATATTTTGTGAAATGGAAATGTAAGCTACCCTATCATAAAAATATTATGACATATAATTAGCTGGATTTTTATTAGTATAGAGACTTTGTTATAAATTGGAGGTCCAATTAATGTGCTTTATTTAACCCTCCCCTTGTGTAATAGCCTTTTTATTCTATAAATGGTGTGCTTTCTGATATACCTTATGGACAATATGTCATTATCTTTTAACTTAATCAGTATAAAGAAATTGAGAAGCAGAACATATTCAGTGACACAGGTTTTTTTTTTTAAGTTGCAGTATCATATTTTGTGGAAAAAAATTACTCTTTTTTTCCCAAATAGCTATATGAAGAATATATTTCAGTATAAACTTTAATAGCTTTTAAAGGCGAATATAATTACATGCAAAACATCAAAAGCTCATGATAATGTTTAACAAAATATCAGTTACGAATTAGAGCTGTTTCCTGTTACGATTCGTTTCAATAACGTTTTGGTATTTTGAAGGATTCATGATAAAAGAAATTCAACTATATTCAAGAAGCCTGCCTAAAATAGAAGGTTACTGCAATTATATGCCAAACTTAGCATGTATTTCTTCTTTGATCTTTTTTTTGTAGGTGAGTTTTATAATTTTTTTTTCAAATATATATTATTCCCATCTAACACCCATTATTTGCCATATCTTCAGTGTAGAAAGTGATGACAAGATGACTGAATTCTGAATCATTAACTAGTACTAATCATGGCCACACAACTTTCACCTGCTCATGGTAGGTAGCCGACTGGAAGAGCCCAGATATATGGACTCCTGTATTACTGATTGGATTGTTGATTCTAAATCCTCAGTCATGGAGAGTTAGATGTGGAACTGTGCAGAAATTCCTTTTGCTTAAAATAAGTGGGTTGCAGCTCACTGTATCCTTGGGCTCAAGTGATCCTCCTGCCTCAGCCTCTGGAGTAGCAGGACTACAGCCACTCTTGGCTTTTTTATTTTTCTTTTTTAAATGACAACATGTGGTCTTCCTGTGTTGCCCAGGCTGGAATCCTGTTCTTTTAAAACTTAACAAGTTTAAGAAATTGTTAGGGAAGGTTTCAGAGAGAGAAACCTGAGCTGGTTTTTCTCTGTGAAATCTTCCCTAACAATTTCTTCCCACATTGATATTTCTTTTTTGTTGATTTCTGTGGAATCTGTAGACCTGTAGACACTGCTTTTTTTTTTTTTTTTTGATGTGATCTTGGCTCACTGCAACCCCTGCCTCCTGGGTTCAAGTGATTTTCCCTGCCTCAGCCTTCTGAGTAGCTAGGATTACGGGTGCCTGCCATGATGCCCAGCTAATATTTATATTTTTAGTACAGATGGGATTTTGCCATATTGGCCAAGCTGGTCTCGAACTCCTGACTTCAGGTGATCCGCCCACGTTGGCTTCCCAAAGTGCTGGGATTATAGGTGTGAGCCACTGTTCTGGCCAGGCATTGCTTTTTATTTAAATCATGTGAGTCTTATTTGTTTTAAAATGCCTTTAAAGCAGAGAAATCCTTTTATAAACCATTGTGTCTCCTCCTTTTTTTCCTCCACAGGCTACGTCCTTTTTTTCTTTTTTTCACACGCCTTTACTCTTGTACCTGGTAGTCTGGTTGGAGGCTAATACATGAGGGGTATATCACACATAATATTTTAGAGTGTATCTACCACTCTTCTCTTGTAGCAGATCATCTGTTAATGAGAGATTTCATAGCAGAGGTGATGTCTTCTTTGAATTAGAGATACTTGGCTGGCCAGCTGTGATATTTGTAATGAATACTATGTTGGTATGCAAGGAGGTATTGAACAAAGAAGGCAAAGCAGAGTAGGTAGGAGTGTTGTAGAAAAAGTATTAAGGCACAATAATTGGCCTAATGGGTGGTGCCAGTTGTAGTGATCTCCAAAGCCTGGTCATAAGGGAACTGCTCCTACCTCCAGTGTTATTTGCATTCCTTCATCATAGCCCAGTGGGAAAGTGTTTGAGCTGTAGCCATGCATTAACCTTCATTACCTAAATGAAATATTTCTTCTGTTTTGGAGGTTTCTTTCCGGTAGGGAAAGAGGGGGGACTTTTCCAACTTTTCTTTCTTGTACTTAATACCTGCTTCACTTAGCTCTTGATGACTTTTCATTTTATGAAATAAAAAAATATATAACAAAAGTATCATTGGTATCAGCCACCAGAGTATCATTCTAATTCCCTTAACTGTTATATGTGTCAAATGATAGTTCTGCTATGTTTGTAACTTTAAAAAATATTTCAGGTGAAATTGCTGTTACGAAGTGGCTGCATTATTGCTTTGTTTTCCTTGTCTTGAGTTTATGGTGTGTTTGCGATCTCTCACTCTTGTGCACATGTGCTCACACTTATGCGCGCGTGCTCTCTCTCTCTCTCTCTCTCTCTCTCTCACTCTCTCTCTCTCTCTCTCTCTCGTTAAGGTCCTCTCCATCAGCACATAGATACCTCATGTGTTTTGCTACTTGTCAGGAAATGTTTTATATCTCAAATACTCCTCTCAAAATAGTTGTTTTAGGATCTATCATGATGGCTGTCTAGTAAATATATTTTTATTTTTGCCAAATTATTTAGGTCCGAAATATCGTTTAACTTTATAATATAGATTTCACCTATTATAAAAATTGTTTTGTTTGGCGTTTATTTCTGTTCTTCCTTTTCTTCAAATTTGATGGCAGTATTTGTATTCTGCATAGCATATTTATTACTTTACTTAGCATAGAAACATTTTTAACAAGGGAAGAACTGCCTTGAGAAAATACTGAAAAACTCTTCTAGCTTAAAAGAAAGGTAATGAAATATTAGTGAGGTATAAAAATAGATTGAACATTGTACAGGAACTCTGACTTAGGCTAGTCATCTGATTCCATTAACCAAACAAATACAGTCATTTGACGATTCTACAGATCATAAAATGTACCAAGTTATACTTACAGAAATGTTGGCTGGGCGTAGTGGCTCACAACTGTAATCCCAGCATTTTGGGAGGCCGAGGTGGGTGGATCACCTGAGGTCAGGAGTTCGAGACCAGCCTGGCCAACGTGGCGAAACCCTGTCTCTACTAAAAATACAAAAATTAGCTAGGTATGGTGATGCACCTGTAATCCTAGCTACCTGGGAGGCTGAGGAAGGAGATTGCTTGAACCCAGGAGGTAGAGGTTGCAGTGAGCCGAGATCATGCCATTGCACTCTATCCTGGGTGACAGAGTGAGACTTCATCTCAAAAAAAAAGGAAATGTCTACCAGATTTTAATATATAGATTGTTTATTTTGCGCTATTTTTTGGGTAGGTCCAAAGACTTATAGAAGATACTGCAATTTAAACAAAAACACCTTGAATACTAAAACAAATAAATGTTGGAAAGCTGTTTTCAAGTATTTTAGCTATCCCATGTATAGAATAAAATTCTCTCTTAAATTCCTGCTCCTTTTCCTTCCTGTTTCTAGCAAATTGATGTAGTTTTAGTGTTTGGTTCACTTCTCCCTCATCACTTAAAGTAACTTTGGGTTTTATGTTGTTTAAGGTTGAGCTTAAAGGACTTTGGTTACCACTTTAAAAATCGTCTGGTATCAGAAATTAAGATATGCAGTTTTAAAAGCTATTTATTATTTGTCATATTACTCCTAAAATTTTCCCCAAATGTGGATTGATTTTTAAAAAAAAAAATTTTCTAACATTTTCATTTTAAGATACAAGTAGTATACCCTCTGCTTATTAATGAGAGGGAGAGCAAGGATAAGTTAACCTTTACCTCTTACTTGATAATGTTTGATTGTTTTTATTGTTTAAAAGCAACAACAAAAGGATTACAGATAAATGCTTCACTTTAAAATACTGACATTTCAAAGTTATCATTTGTCATTAAAGATTGTTTTAACATCACACACAACTTGTTCACTGGGCTATTCATTTGAAGAACTTGTTTCTTGAGATAGTATTTCTTGCCTATTCAAATAACAAGTAGTATTTTAGGATTTTAAAAAATTTCACTTAAGTCAGGGTTGGTTTTGATAGCCTCAGTACTCTGTATAAAGTTATGATTTGCTTTCTTACAATTTATATTCTGAAGTTACAGTTATAAATGTATTCTGATTTCAGTGGTATAATGTCTTGCAGTTTTATTTAGGAAGTATAATTTCACTACTCTAGCCATATTCTTTTTGGAAAAGTTGAGGTCCTTTTTTGAAATATGCTTTGAAGATGGCATTTCAAAATATTAGGGTCTTAAAATAGGATCAGGTATGAACCTGTGTGGTGAATATTAACATCTATTGGTAGTCTCAACTTGAGACTGCATTTGAACTGCACTTGTGAATGACTTTTCTTAGTTTTTTGAGATAGCCAGGGCTTTCTCTATAAGTACTGACATATTCCTTTGGTGACCTCCATTATTCCCAGATTACCCATCTTTCCCATACTTGCATTTTCAGTTGGGGATAGAATAGTGAGTGGAGTTACAGTCCAGCTCTGACTTAGGACTATGTTACATCTTTCTCTACCTGAATTCACCTTCAGTTTGGGCCTGAGTGGGTCCGATTCCCATTGGAACTAGGACATTTCCTGTGGCCCTTGAGCTGCCCCCAGTTGAATGGGATTCCTCAGCCCTAACTTTCTGGTTCAGATGTTTAGGAACATGGCTTGAACTTCTAGCAGTTTTCAGGTAGGTGATTCCCTTGTAAGAAGATACTAACTAAATCTGACTTATAAGGTAGCCCACAATTTAAAAAAACTAAAATTTGCTGTATATATTATATGATTTATCTTTATATTCTCTGTTTACAGTGGATCATATGCATAGTTGCATATTTTTATTTGGGAACTGTATCTTGCTTATGATATGCTTGTTATCTAAAGAAAGTTACTGGCCGGGCGTGGTGGCTCACGCCTGTAATCCTAGTACTTTGGGAGGCCGAGGAGGGTGAATTGCCTGAGCTCAGGAGTTTGAGACCAGCCTGGGCAATACGGTGAAACCTCATCTCTACTAAAATACAAAAAATTAGCCAGGCATGGCAGCGTGTGCCTGTAGTCCCAGCTGCTTGGGAGGCTGAGGCAGGAGAATTGCTTGTACCTGGGAGGCAGAGGTTGCAGTGAGCTGAGATCATGCCACTGTACTCCAGCCTGGGTGACAGAGTGAGACTCTGTCTCAAAAAAATAAAAAAAGAAAGTTATCTTCAAAAATAAGGAATTGCCTAAAAGCATTATTGTTTTTATTACGTTACTCTTTATTAAAACTAAAATTTTGTAGTTAGTGTATTTAATTTTAATTGAATGTAATATCAGATAGTCGAACCAGTGATCTGTTGGTGTGATGGCCTAATGGCAAATAAAGTCTTTGCATACAAGTTTATAACGATTTGAAAATCTCACATTAGGAAGAGTCCTTTGAGTACAACTGTAGAATAATAGTAGAGTAGAAATTGCATATGAAATGCATGGCCTCTAATTTTTTCCCTGTATTTAAACCTTCCCCTCCTTTGTTTTGTAGCGTAGCATTATTTCCCAAAAGTGCCACTTTATTTCACTGCAAACAAGTTGAGTTTTCCTTAAAATTTTTTAGGTGAGTACCCAGAACATGAAGATGGGTGGGCTGCCGCGTACAACACCTCCAACTCAGAAACCCCCTAGTCCCCCTATGTCAGGGAAAGGGACACTTGGGTGAGTATATAACTAAGTAGTAATTGAAAACCATTTCATGTAGTATTGTTTAAAAATGAAGCACAACATATATTTAAATTATTTTTTGAATATTTGAGGAGAGAATATTTTCTTTGTAGGATTATTTTTTGTATGTATAACTTTCTCTTCTCTTGGGAATCACATTGTTATACTTCAAAAAGATTTGTTTAGAAATTGTTTTCTTTTTCTTTTTCTTTTTTTTTTGAGATGGAGTCTCGCTCTGTTGCTAGGCTGGAGTGCAGTGGTGCCATCTTGGCTCACTGCAGTATTTGCCTCCCGAGTTCAAGTGATTCTCCTCCCTCAACCTCTACTAAAAATTTTTGTATTTTTAGAAGAGATGGGGTTTCATCACGTTGGCCTCGATCTCCTGACCTCATGCTCCACCCGCCTCGGTCTCCCAAAATGCTGGGATTATAGGCGTGAGCCACCATGGCCAACCTAGAAATTGTTTTTCTAGTGAATTTTAAATTTGAGGTAAAATCCTAGACCAAGTTCATGGTTTATTGTAAATTGCAGTCTAATTTTAATTCTTCTTTCAGAAAATTTATATAGTCTTTTATATTACAGTTTAACTCCAACTATCCTTTTTAACAAAGCTGTGTAGATTATAAAATTCTGTAAAACTTATAAGAATATGAGCTTTAGGCCAGGTGTGTGGGTCACACTTGTGATCCCAGCACTTTGGGAGACTGAAGTGGGTAGATCACTTGAGCCCAGGAGTTCAAGACCAGCCTGGGCAACATGGTGAAACCCTGTCTCTGTGAAAAATACAAAAATAAGCTGGGTGTGGTGGCATGCACCTATAGTCCCAGCTACTCTCAAGGCTGAGATAGGAGGATACCTGAGCCCAGGAGGTTGAGATTGCAGTGAGCCATGATCATGTCACTGTGCTGTAGCCTTCATGGCAGAGTGAGACCCTGTCTCAAAAAAAAAAAAAAAAAAATGTATATATATATATGGAGCTACTTTGATCCTACAGAGTTGGGCTCTAGATTTGACTTTTGGCAAAAATGGCCAATTAATGGAAAAGCTTGACTTTTTCTTCTAGAGCATCGTATTATAAACTTGGCTTATTGTGATTGAGATTTATGATTAGGTTGGCATAGTATAGCCCAGAAGCCAGATGATTAAAATTCTAGTTCAGCTGTGCTGTTACTTTGTAGTTCCTACATAGACAGCTGCTGAGAATTCAGTGTTTTCATCTGTAAAAGGGGGGGTAATATTTGTCCTCTATCAACTTTTCAGGGTCACTGTACCACAAATTGGATTTTTAAAAATGTATAAGACAAAGACAAAATGTTTTGACAACCAATGGCTTTATGATATATGCTAAACAAGTTTTTAATTGACAGTCTTATTTTTGGCTCCCTCACCACCACCACCACCAACAACAACACCACCACCACCACCACCAACATCAACACCACCACCACCACCACTACCACCACCACCACCGGCACCACCACAACAAAAAAACCAACCACAAACCAAAAAACCGAAACCCAAACAAGCACTATGAATCAGGATAGGACAAAGATGATTTAGGATGTAGTGGAGGATAGTGTTGGAAGAGGGATAACAGGACAGTAGGAGACCAAAGAATAAAAATGAATTCCAACCAGGAATAGAATGACTTTATTTGGGGTGGATAAAATAATTCTGCTTAGAGAGAAAAGAATCTAGTGGGTCAAATAAGATTTAAACTTCAAGGTAGAATGTAGATTACATAGTAGTGTATAATGGTGCCAGGGGTGAGAGTAGAGAGATGAAGAGGAACTCTGTTTTTATTTTCCTATGGAAATGTTTACATTTGTGTCATGTACAGTGCCTTACGGATTTTGTGGGGTTTTAAATCAAAATTGTTAGCAAGATAAGCCACTTAGTCCCTAGAGAAACTTTGTGTTGTTCTCAAGTTTTGAATATTTGCTCATATACCAGTGTTTGTTTTCCTTGTATATTAGCAATGGTACTCCAGGATCCTTGGGGACCAGAGTTGCTGAGGCCCACTTTGCTAGTTGATGGCTGTAACCTGTTTTTTCCGCATAGTCTTTGCCTAGTCACCACGTTTTGTTCCTTTGCTCCTTGTTTTTTTTTTTTTTTTTTTTTATAAATCTTCTTTGTGTCATTGTCTTCACTGTATAGTTCTCAGTACCGAAGATCTTTACTTTGCTGCAGCAGAACTTATTTTTTTAAGACAGAGTCTCACTGGAGAGCAGTATTGTGATACTGGCTCACTGCAACCTCTGCCTCCTGTGCCCAAGTGATTCTCCTGCCTCTAGGCAATTCTCTTGCCTCAGCCTCCTGAATAGCTGGGATTACAGGTGTGCACCATCATTCCCAGCTAATTTGGGTATCTTTAGTAGAAATGGAGTTTTGCCAGGTTGGACAGGCTGGTCTCAAACTCAAGTGATCTGCCTGCCCCAGCCTCCTGAAGTGTTGGGATTACAGGCGTGAGCCACTGCACCCAGCCACAACAAAACATTTTTATTGTCTGGGAAAAATTGTCTAAAAATGAGATGTTGGAAAAATCAATGTTTTTTATTTTATTTTTTTAATATTTGCATTATAATTTAAGAGACACTGGAACTTCCTTTTAGTATTTTAAATCCAAAGTCCTGACATTCCTTTTTCCTTTTTTGACCCAATATTTTATCCAGTGTCCCTTATTTTATTTTTAATTATCAATGTGTATATTTAGGTAAGGAGACTTTGAAGAGCAGTAGAATGAATTGGGTCATTGCAAAGTGATCTCATCCAAAATCTGTGATCCATAACTTGAGTGCCCCAGGAGAGTTATAGTTAAAGGAACTCTGGGATCCATACATAAGTCAGTAGAGCAACATCATTTCAGGAAAAGAAAGCTTTTTAATTTTCACATCTTGATCAGTTTTTATACTTTTTTTTTTGAGATGGAGTTTCACTCTTGTTGCCCAGGCTGCTATGCAATGGTGTGATCTCAGCTCTGCAACCTCTGCCTCCCAGGTTCAAGCAATTCTCCTGCCTCAGCCTCCCAAGTGGCTGGGATTATAGGTGCCCACCACCATGCCTGGCTGATTTTTGTATTTTTAGTAGAAACAGGGTTTCACCATGTTGGCCAGGTTGGTCTTGAACTTCTGACCTCAGGTGATCTGCCCACCTCAGCCTCCTAAAGTGCTGGGATTACAGACTTTAATAGCGCCAGCTGAGTTTTTATTCTTTTAATGAGTAAAATCTCATCTATAATATGTCAGTTGACTATCATTGTCATAAAGAATTTGGAAACTTTAGAGATGAGAACTAATATAATCACTAATTTTCCCATGTGCATCCTGTTTCCTTGTCATATTTCCTTTCTTCCTCTTTTCATCCTCTTTATGAGGAAATTTTGAGGAAAAGGGAAATATGTGTTAATAAAATCTTGTCTGGTTTGTATTTTACACTTCAAAGTAAATAATGTAGAAAGGCTGTTGTGGTGGTCATTTCCTTCCCTCTATCTTTGTACATATTGAACGCTGAGGAGGGAAAAAAAAAACAGATCAAGGTGAAAATTGAGGGGGAAAGTGAGAATGGAAGATGAGATTAAAGTGTGTATTTTTGTATACAGATGTACTTTAATTTCTGTATATTTAGTATATAGAAAGGGAAGTGAGTTATGATTATCGGTGTGGAGGTTATAGATCCAAAACCTAGATTTGTAGTTCCTATCTTTGAATATTTTTGGTTAGGAAGAAAAGGGAGAGCAGAATAATTAGTGTATTTAGGAAGGACAGTTGGGAGACTTTAATATGATACTAAAAGAATTCAGACTCTTCTAAGAAGAGAGTAGGGTCTGGGAAACATTGGCTTAAGTGGTAGAGAACCTTTGTGCTCTTTGAGAATAAATGAACAAAATTGCATTAGCACCGGGAAATGAGGTTGGAGACTGAAAAATAACAATATTCGCCAAAACCCTATTGGTGGAAAAGTGATACATTAGGAAAGACTGAAATTGGTAGCTGGGTTATGTTAAAACACATTTCCTATCTCTGATTACAAATTGTATCTCACTGCTGGCAACTCTTTGAATTTATTGTGCCGAAACTTGCTTAATCATACAATACATACGCTCTTCTTTTTGTAGGCGGCACTCCCCCTATCGCACACTGGAGCCAGTGCGTCCTCCAGTGGTACCAAATGATTACGTACCTAGCCCAACCCGTAATATGGCTCCCTCGCAGCAGAGCCCTGTGAGGACAGCTTCTGTGAATCAAAGAAATCGAACTTACAGGTATTTTCTCTACCTCAGTGCAAAATGTGATGGTCATAGTACCATAATCTGTTCAGATTACTTCAGTTAAATCTCTCATTTTCCAAGCACTAAGTTCTTTTCCTCACTCTACTCTCCCAAACCTCATCTGATTCCACCTCTCTCTCCTCATATTCTGATGCAACTGAGCAGTCAGGAAGTTGATAAAGAACAGACATCTCGAAGTGCAGACTTCTCTCCAAGTGTTAAGAGTCCGTTGATCTGGAAAAAAAAAAAAAGTGGACCAAATGTGGGAAATGTCAGGTTGTTTTTTGGTGGAACTTTACAGATGAAAAACTATACATACTAAAACATTAATATGGGATAGTACATCAAAGTATGATCATGAATTAAAATTACTCAAATTTGTTTAGGAAAATGTTTTTATTATAAAAGAAGTTTCTTCAGATACGTATTAAACTGGAATATAAAAAGGCAGTATTTATTGTTTTAATGTGTTAAACCTCAACATTTATCACATATTTATGGATAATTTTTTTCAAAATGTGGTCAAAACAAGCTTATTGAACTCAGTTTTTCCCTCAATTTTGTTAAGAAATATATATGTGTGTGTGTATATATATATATATATATATATATGTATGTATGTATGTATATATTTTACCTGTCACTGACTTGAAGCTCAAGGAAATTTTTATTTGAAGTGGAATGCTTTTGAATTACTTTATTGTAGCAACATTCATCTCAGAAAATGTTGGGAAGTGCTGATGATCTCTTACTTTTTATAAATGCTCATGTTTTGGTGGCTCTTATTTCTTTAGCAGCAGTGGGAGTAGTGGAGGGAGCCACCCAAGTAGTCGGAGCAGCAGTCGAGAGAACAGTGGAAGTGGGAGTGTGGGGGTTCCTATTGCTGTTCCTACTCCGTCTCCTCCCAGTGTCTTTCCAGGTAAAACATTCATGGTGCCTCATCTTCACTTTTCTTTTCTGAATTTTATTCAATTTGTGATTTAATTATGGTGAGCTTTCTTCATAATCAGGATTTTTTTTAAGGAATCGTAAATATTGGGAAGTCTTTATATATTTGTTATTTGTATGCAAGTGATTTGTGTTTGCTCACTTTGCACTTTTTAATGCATTTGGTGATATGGCTCAGTTGCTGCCTTGAGGTTTCAGATCACACTTTGGTATGAGTTACATGTTTAATTCCAGCTAGTGTTATGACAGTGCAGTCTTTGGACACAGTGGGGACTCAGTGTGAGAATCATATTAATAACAAAAGATTGGGCAAATATAAAAATTAGTTTTGATAGTTAAATTTAGTGGATGTATTGGAATTTAGTAGTCTCTGAAAATGCTACCCTCTTTTCTCTGAAACCGAAAAATCTGCTTATTTGATTTGAGGAGATACACACTTAAAACTTAGTTTTAAAAACATGACACAAAAGACATTAATAGAATGTTACACGCTTAATTTACTTATAATAACAAGTAGAGAATACCTTTTAAAAAATCATAAAAAGATTTGTGTTTTAAATTCTTTTTTTTTTTTTTTTTTTTTTGAGATGGAGTCTGGCTTTGTCACCAGGCTGGAGTCCAGTGGTGTGATCTTGGCTCACTGCAACCTCTGACTCCTGGGTTTGAGCAGTTCTCCTGCATCAGCCTCCAAGTAGCTGGGACTACAGGCGTGCACCACCACACCCAACTAAGTTTTGTATTTTTAGTAGAGATAGGGTTTTACCATATTGGCCAGGATGATCTCATCTCTTGACCTGGTGATTCCCCTATCTCGGCCTCCCAAAGTGCTGAGATGACAGGCGTGAGCCACTGCACCCAGTTAAATTCATTTTTTACCCCATATCTGGAATATTCTGTTTTCTGATTTGTGTAATTCAAAATGGAAAACTGTTGTTTTTTAGTGTATTATGTTAATTTTGTATACCAGTTACAGAATGTTATACTAAAAATAACAATATGAAGGGAACACCTTTCTTTCAGAGTAGTGCTTTCAAATAAAAAGGAATGCTTGTTTTTAATGAATTGAAAAAATCTATGCATTACCCTGAGCATTTTGAATTATTTGCTGCTTACATAGTAATCCTTGGACATACGTTTTATTCTTTTTAACTCTATTCTTTTGGTTAGCGTTAAACACTGAATATCTAACATTAAATACTCTAATATCTTTTCTAATCCTGCCTCGTGATTGCCTCATTAATGCTGCCTGTTACTCCTCTTTCCCCTCAGCCCCTGCTGGCTCTGCTGGCACTCCTCCCCTTCCTGCTACTTCTGCATCTGCCCCTGCCCCTCTTGTTCCTGCTACTGTCCCTTCCTCCACTGCCCCAGACGTTGCTGCTGGGGGTGCCCAGACCCTTGCTGATGGCTTCACTTCTCCAACTCCCCCTGTTGTTTCTTCCACTCCCCCTACAGGTAAGTATTTGCTTGTTCATTGGCAGGCAGATCCAGTCATCTGGCCATTCTCTTACTTGCACCTCTGATTTTTGTTTGTGTTTGGTTTGGTTATGCTTTGTATTAAAAAAACATAAGAATAATGTACTAACTAGAAAGTATCATGTGACCAAAGCTTAGAATTTCCTGAGAAAATTGAGGTAAGATTTCTCATACATTTTTCCAATAGGGTAGTATAAATGCATGTTTTTTATTGCTTGAATTCCATTTATTAGAGATTTTAAAATTTAATATGGAGCTACCTTCTCTACAGTTTTCGGAAATTGTCCTTAGAAATATTTTTATTACAGGTTAAGTGATTAACAAAAGTCTTTTACAATAATTCTAAGGTATATTTTATAGGAACTATTTGATACAACAAGTGGAAAGCCTCTGTAAGGCTTTCCACTCATGGCCCTAAGGCAAAGGGAAAGCACACAGGTCACATGGCCAGAGTAGGAGTAAGAGGGTAAAGCAGGAGGTGCTACACACTTTTAAACAACCAGATTTCATTATTGCAAGAACAGCTCCAAGGGGGATGGTGTTAAACCATGAGAAACCGCCCCTGTGATCCATTCACCTCCCACCAGGCCCCACCCCCAACATTGGGGATTATAGTTCGACATGAGATTTGGGCAGGGACACAGATTCAAAGCATATCAATCTTCTTAGTGTTCCACTTGCCAATAAAAACTTCACAGCATTTATTTTCAACTTTGCTGTTATACATGTTAAACATATATAAGATCTTTACATGTTTTAAAAGACACTTTTAGCCCAAATGGATTTTGCATGATGTCTTATGGGATTCCTTCTGTATTACTTTTAAAGAAAAGCTTTCTACAGTGGATAAATGTAAACATGGGGCTGTTTTTTGATCTGGATACAGCTGTTAGGCCGGACTAACTGATTAAATATAGGAATCTTGTTATGGTCCTGCTTTGATAAAGAAGGTATCAGAAATGACAAATTACCCCCAACTGAGAGTTTACATTTTAGTAATCAAATATTAATTGAATAACAAGTGCCTGGCTCAGTGTTCACTAAGTAAACATTTGGTATGGGAGAGGATAATTAACTGTGGTTTTTAAAACAAAAAGCAAGGTAAATGCCTTGTTAATAATTTTTATCAGTATAATCTCTTTTATACAGTATCTTACTCACCAAGCAATTTTTTTCTTTTTATTAAGGTATAACATATGTACAGTAATATTCACCCATTATGCCATACATATTTGTGAGTTTTGGCAAAGGTATACTGTCATGTACCACAATCAAGATATAGAACAGTCCTATCATCACAAAAATTTCCTCCATGCCTCCATTATAGTTAGTCCTTCCCTTCCACTCCCAGCTCCTGGTAAGCCCTAGATGTGTTTTTTGTCTCTAAGGCTGTGCCTTTTTATGAATAACATAAATGGAAGCATATGATATGTAGCTTTTTTGGTCTGTTCTTTTGGACAGATGCATTTTAGAGTTACCCATGTTGTTGCATGTTTAAGTATTAAGGATGTCCCACAATTTAGATTTTTCTGGACATTTAGATTTTTCCAGTTTTGAGTGCTTATGAATAAAGTTGCCATAAACAAGTACATATAGGTTTTATTTTCTGTACACATAGATTTTTATTTTATTAGGGTAAATACCTAGGGAATAGAATTGCTGGGTTATAAGTAAATATTAAACTTTATAAGAAACCACCAAGTTGTTTTCCAAGTGGCTATACAATTTTACACTCCCAGCAGCAGTGTATAAATTTCCAGTTGCATCCTTGTCAGCACTTGGTGTTGCCTTTTTAAACTTTAGCCATTCCAGTACATGTGTAATGGTTTCTCATTACATGTGTGGTTTTGATTTGCATTTTCTTAATGACTAATGATGTTGAACATTTTTTTCGTGTGCCTATTTGCCATGTGTATATCTTCTTTGGTGAAGTATCTGTTGAGATGTTTTGCTTCTTGTCACCTTTTTAATAGGGTTTTTTCCCCCTTATCATTGAGTTCTTTTATATTCTAAATACATGTCCTTCATAGATTATAAGATTATGAGTTACAAATATTTCTTCCAGTTTGTTTCTTTTCTTTTCTTTTTTTTTTTTTTTGAGACATAGTCTTGCCCTGTCTCCAGGCTGGAGTGCAGTGGCATAATCTCGGCTCACTGCAGCCTCTGCCTCCCAGGTTCAAGCGATTCTCCTGCCTCAGCTTTCTGAGTAGCTGGGACAGGCATGTGCCACCACGTCCAGCTAATTTTTGTATTTTTAGTAGAGACAGGGTTTCACTATGTTGGCCAGGATGTTCTCGATCTCTTGACCTCGTGATATACCCACCTTGGCCTTCCAAAGTGCTGGGATTACAGGCATGAGTCACCGCACCTGGCCTGTTTGCTTATTTATTTATTATTATTATTTTTGATGCGGGGGAGGGGTAGAGTTTCGCTCTTGGCGTCCAGGCAGGAGTGCAATGGTGCGATCTTGGCTCACTGCAACCTCTGCTTCCCAGGTTCAAGTAGCTGGGATTACAGGGACCCACAACCATACCTGGCTAATTTTTGTATTTTTAGTAGAGATGGGGTTTCGCCATGTTGGTCAGGTTGGTCTCAAACTCCTGACCTCAGGTGATCCACCTGCCTTGGCCTCCCAGAGTGCTGGGATTACAGGCGTAAGCCACTGGGCCCAGCCAGTTCACTTTTTTCTTGATGTTATTTTTCAAATAGCATAAATTCTTCATTTTGATTAAGTGTTATTTTCAGTTTTAATGAATTGTGCTTTGGTGGCGTATGTAAGATCTCTATCTGAAGTCATATTTTGTTCTGTGTTTTCTTCTAGAAGTTTTTAGTTTTAGATTTTATCGTTAGGTTTATGATAATTAGGTTTATAGTTTTTAAAACCCCAAATGGTAAATCTCTCATTACTAGTGTGTGAATAGTATCTTTTTAAGGTAATGTCTTTGAATCACTGCAAAGTTACAACATATGAGATTTTATTTTGGTGGTGGTTGTTTTTTGAGATGGAGTCTCACTCTGTCACCAGGTTGGAGTGCAGTGGCTCAATCTCGGCTCACTGCAACCTCTGCCTCCCAGGTTCAAGTGATTCTCCTGCCGCAGCCTCCCGAGTAGCTGGGACTACAGGTGCATGCCACCACACCCAGCTAATTTTTGTACTTTTAGTAGAGGTAGGGTTTCACCGTGTTGGCCAGGATGGTCTTGATCTCTTGACCTCATGATCTGCCCTCTTTTGCCTCCCAAAGTGCTGGGATTACAGACTGAGCCACCGCACTCTGCCTGTGTGAGGTTTTAGACTGGATCTAACTATATAAAATTCATAATGATGTTAATCATTAGATGTTTTTAACTTGATCTAAGTTTGTATTACTTTGTTATAAATTAACTACTGAAATGCTAATAATTGTATTCAGTGGTTCAAATAATTATATATGCCTTTTAAATCATAGTTTATATGTTTTCATTTTTATCGTGGTTACAGAGGCTTCTCAGTTGATCATGGATTCTGTTTGAGTGCTTAAGTGCTTAAGATTTTATATAACACAATTGAGTTGTAGGTTTTTGATACACATGTAGGATGATTGTTATAACCAGCCTTGAGTGCCCTTAAAATCTTTATATGACACCATGTGAATCTAAGCTTGATAAACTTATGGAGTAAAGCAATTTTAGTCATGTCAAACCATTTTATAATCATAAACAAGATAAAAATTGTCAAAGTGTTTTTTTCCTCTAATACTTTTAATTAAAATTACCAGGAAGAGAGTCTCATATTAAAGTAGAGCAAACATGGTAAGACTCAACTAAAATATGAAGCCTGGAAGAGGATATGACTGTTTGATCGTGAAGATTTGAACAAATTAAACAAGTGTTCATCAAATTCTACATTACAGAAGTCTTATCTCACTGTGTTTCAAGTAGTTTATTTTAGAATTTAAAAAATTTCAGGATAACCTCAGGCACAAATGGGTAGATGAATGTGCCAGGCGTCATCTGTTCCCCCAATGCCACCTCCTCTACTCTCCTCTCTTCTCCAGTAGGATGACCTCCATGAAATGCTTCAGTGAATTCTTTTGCACTCTGGCTTCCTGTTGGGTTTAGCAAAAGTGTTTTTTTTTTTTTTTTTTCACTTCTCTCCTCCCTTTCTGTTTCTCCTTTCCTTTCCCTTCCTCTGTCCTCTTTCCCTCCTCCACCCTCTTCTCCTCCTCCTCTAGTTTCCCTTCCCTTTTTCCCTTTCTTCTACACCTACTTATTTCTCCCCCTCCTCTTCTCTCTTGCCCTTCCCTTCTCCCTTGTCTGCTGGTGTGCTTTCTCCTGGGTGCTGTAGTACTCTGTCTGTAAGGAAAAAGTTCTCAGCCGAATGTAAGTGAGAGTTAAGGTAAAGTTTAGGAAGTGGATTATTAGAAAATTGATGGATTATGGAATCATGTCTCCAATTGACATTAGCTGTGGAGGAACTCTCACAAGAGCAAAATATAGTGAAATTGATGATAACTATGTATGAACTTAGGGATGATATTAAAAATAAGATATATTTTGACCCTCTTTTTATATCTTAGTTTTTTCCATGATTGTAAATTTTTTAGATTTTAATTGTAAGACAAAATAATGTAGCTTTTGTGGTAGATTTTTTGATTAAATGAAAGAAGTGTTTGATGTGGAATTACATCATTTAACCTTTTGTTGAAATAGCTTATTTTCCTTTAAACAAACTTTTTTTGCTACGTTATATTATTATTTATTATTTCGAAATAAGACTATGTGTCAGACATTTTTTCTTTTGTTTTCCGAAATGTCAATCTTGTTGACTTTAGTTTTCAGTGTTTAGTGGCTATATTTTGGGGGTGGGGTAGATAAATTTTAATTAATTGTGATGATTTTGAAACTCCATGAGATTTTTAATTTAATGAAATAATGTTATTATCAAACTGTTATTTATGTATTTTGAGACAGAGTCTCACTCTGTCACCCAGACTGGAGTGCAGTGGCACAATCTCTGCTCACTGTAACCTCCACCTCCTAGGTTCAAGGAATTCTCATGCCTCAAACTCCCAAGTAGCTGGAATTACAGGTGCATGCCACCATGCCTGGATAATTTTTGCATTTTTAGTTGAGACGGGGTTTCACCATGTTGGCCTGGTCTCAACTCCTGACCTTAAGTGATCTGCCTACCTTGACCTCCCCAAATGCTAGGATTACAGGCATTAACCACTGCACCCAGCCCTAATTCGTAAACTATTTAGACCTAGCTTTCCAAACTTAATCATATTTTGATTTGCTTTTCTGCTTTCCTACTCTTATACAATACCAGTGAACAATAACTCACCTGGCATTATGTATTTCAGACTCCAGTTAAACTGGCTGTTATTTTTAATTATTAAGATTTAGGCTTTGGGCTGGGGGTGTGGCTGACACCTGTAATCCCAGCACTTTGGGAGGCTGAGGTGGGCAGATCACCTAAGGTCAGGAATTTGAGACCAGTCTGGCCAACATGGTGAAACCCAGTTTCTACTAAGATAATACAAAAAAAAAACCTATTTGGGTGTGGTGGTGGGCACATGTAATCCCAGCTACTTGGGAGGCTGAGGTAGGAGAATTGCTTGAACGCAGGAGGTGGAGCTTTCAGTGAACCGTGTTTGTGACATTGCACTCCAGCCTGGACAACAAGAGCGAGATTCCGTCTCAAAATAAAAATAAAAAAAATAAAGATTTAGACATTGTACATAAAATATTTAATTATCTGAGATAATTTTATTTTAATGACAGATTTATGTTCTGTCTCTTTTTCAGGTCATCCTGTACAGTTTTACAGCATGAATAGGCCTGCCTCTCGTCATACTCCCCCAACAATAGGGGGTTCCCTGCCCTATAGACGTCCTCCTTCCATTACTTCACAAACAAGCCTTCAGAATCAGATGAATGGAGGACCTTTTTATAGCCAGAATCCAGGTTAGATTTTTTTTTTTTGCGTTCTGCAGAATATATCTAATTAAAAACTTTCAACTATAAAAAATCCTTAATTACAAATAAATAGTACATGGTAGGTGGTTAGTACCATTTGTTGAATGAATGGGAGAATGAATAAATTGTAGGTTGCTAATATTGTATCTTTCAATTCTTTAAAAAAAATCAGTACATGTTTTCCTTGTAAAGTGACAGAACTTAATTTTTCTGAGCAGTTTTTTTTTTAATATTTTAGTCGTTATTTGCTTTTTAAAATAACATAGTGAATGATATTTCCTTTTTTAATCAGACATCCTTGCTCTATAAATAACAAATAGTGAAAGTTGGGTGCACATGAACAGAATTTAGAAGTGGCAAAGGAAAAGAGAAACTTTTTTGTGAAAAGCTACTTTTTGCTAGGCAATTTATACTAGCTTATTCAATTCTCATACCAAACCATTGTGGAAAAACTGGGAGTTGGGTAAATTGAATCAGATCTAGTAATTACACTAAATAATTGGTTGTATCATGCATACAGAACAGTTAATCTGGAACATATTTAATGCTATACATAATTATTATTTACTTTCCAGAGAGGGCAAGAACAGATATTGGACACCATGACTGTTGTGGACATGGTATGCCAACTTACTGCATTTTTCTGTATTTTTGCCAAGAAGCCAGTAAGGCTATGTGTGTACACCTCTGATACTGGGTTCAGCTCATTCCGTCTTTAATAAGCCTTGAATTTTATGGAGCTGCAATTTCTCTCTGTGGCTACAACCTATAGTGATATTCTTTGAACGAGTCTTGCAGAAGAAATTTGATTCTCCTACATAAACACTTAATTTAAATAATGTTTTAATATTATCTAATTTGATTCGTAGAATCATGTACAAAATAAGATTGGTGTATATCTTATAGGTGAGGAAAATGAGGCTGAAGTGATGGTCAGGTTAGGATTTGAACTTAGGTTTTCTGACTCTTAAGTTCTATGTTCTTTCTGTTTTTTTATTTTGTTTTTTGAGACGGAGTCGCTCTCATTCTGTTGCCCAGGCTGGAGTGCAGTGGTGCGATCTTGGCTTACTGCATCCTCCACCTCTTGGGTTCAAGTGATTCTCCTGCCTCAGCCTCCCGAGTAGCTGGGATTACAGGCATGTGCCACCTTGCCCAGCTCATTTTTGTATTTTTAGTAGAGATGGGGTTTCACCACATTGGTCAGGCTGGTCTTGAACTCCTGATCTCATAATCCAACCAATTCGGCCTCCCAAAGTGCTGGGGTTACAGTTGTGAGCCACTGTGCCCAGCCCCTGTTTTTTTTTTTTTTTAAGTTCAGATGATGTTTCTCTCTGTTGTCCAGGATGGAGTGCGGTAGCATGATCTCTGATCACTGCAACCTCCACCTCCTGGGTTCAAGCAATTCTCCTGCCTCACCTTCTCGATTAGGCTGGGATTACAGGCACCCACCACCATGCCCAGCTAAATTTCACATTTTGTTGTAGAGACAGGATTTTACTATGTTGGCCAGGCTGGTCTTAGACTACTGACCTTAAGTGATCCACCCACCTCAGGTTCCCAAAGTGCTGGGATTACAGGCGTGAGCCACCATGCCCAGCCTAAGTTCCATGTTTTATTGTCCTACCTACATGTTTAAAAAAAGTCTTTTTCTGACCCCCCCAAGTCGTCTTTTTTTTTGGTGGGGAAGTAGGATGAAAGGATGTAGTATAAAGTGTATGAAAGCCTGAGACCTAGTCAGTCTTTTATATGGTTATATCCTGGAATATTTCTCAGGAACTGTTTGTTGAATGCCAAATGAATCCCTTGTTCCTTTTTCCAAATCACTCCACTGTTCTGGGTCCCTCTTGCAAATTAAATCCTCTATTTGTAGTCCAACCAGTGCAAACCATAGTGTAAATACCAATGTCTTAATTGATATATACTTTCCCTATATTTTTTTATCACATTTAGTGTTTTTGTCTGTGCCATTCTTTTTAACTCACTCTAAACTTAAATTTTGAAAAAAGTGCCATTTTTATACATTCACCTTTTAAACTGTTTTCAAACCCACATTTGTTCAGGTGCTATTTTGTATTTAAATTGATTTTTTATTCTTAAATTTTAGATTATAAAAATTTTAAATTTTAGATATAGCCTGTTTCGTAGTTCTGCTGAAGATGGGCTGTCTCCTTGGCTCTTTCAGAAGTCTAGACAATTATTGTTTATGGCCCTAATGCCCCTTCTTTATTCTTAAGTAGAATTTTGAAAGAATGATGTTAGTCCAAAATGGGTTGGTTCCATAACAGAGCTGAGAGCTGCTTCACTGTTAGAACTTGAGACCAACTATACATGATATATAGTAAGTATGTGCTGGAAATTTTTTTTTTTTTTTTTTTTGAGACAGTGTATCGCTCTGTCGCCAGGCCAGGGTGCAGTGGCACGATCTTGGCTGCAACCTCTGCCTCCTGGGTTCAAGCGACTCTCTTGCGTCAGCCTACCAAGTAGCAGGGACTACAGGCGTGCACCACCACAACCAGCTAATTTTTGTATTTTTAGTCGAGATGGGGTTTCACCATGTTGGCCAAGATGGTCACAATCTCTTGACCTTGTGATCCACCCACCTCAGCTTCCTAAAGTGCTGGAATTACACGTGTGCCACTGTGCCTGGCCTTTTTTTTTTTTTTTAAAATGGAGCCTGGCTTTGTTGCCCAGCCTAGAGTGCAGTGGCACAATCTTGGCTTACTGCAACCTCCGCTTCCTGGTTCAAGTGATTCTCCTGCCTTTGCCTCCCAAGTAGCTGAGATTACAGGCACCCACCACCACTCCTGGCTAATTTTTTTTTTACTTTTTGAGGCAGAGTCTTGCTCTGTCACCCAGACTGGAGTGCAGTAGTGTGATCTCGACTCACTGCAACCTCCACCTCCCGGGTTCAAACGGTTCTCCTTCCTTAGCCTCCCAAGTAGCAGGGATTACAGGCACCTGCCACCATGCCCAGCTAATTTTTGTACTTTTAGAAGAGACAGGGTTTCACTATCTTGGCCAGGCTGGTCTTGAACTTCTGAATTCAAGTTATCCACCCACCTTGGCCTTCCCAAAGTGCTGGGATTATAGGCATGAGCCACTGCGCCCGGCCTTTACAGGAATATTTCATGCTTTGTTCGCGTATGCTTCAAAATAGTCCTGTGAGAACCCTGTAAGTAGAATTTATTTGAAGGCTGCTAAAGCACATATTTAAATGTATTTTAAAATATGTATTTCAGTAGTTTCTTTGTAAATCTGATTTTCACATGCTTGAAAGTTGGTGTTAAAGTAAAAAATCCCCCCTTAATGGAATGATTTTAATGAAGGTATTTTTCTCACTCATGGAAGTAAGGTGAATTGGGATTGTTAGGCTTTCTGCGTGATGTGTGAGGCAGTGAGGTTGCGCTTTTTTGTTTTTCTGTACTCTGCTCTATTAAGTTCTGCTTTGCATCTCCAGGGATTTGGCAACTGTTTAAAGTGGGTGACCACACATTGTTAGTTGGTTAATCAGAGTACTTTTTCCAAACTGAGTTTTTTTTTAACTAAACCATTTTCTTGGAAAAGCTCTTTTTGCAAGACTTAATGCTTTGTGAATCAGTGTTCTAAGGCTGTTAGATGCATTTTTATTTTATATTCATTAGACTGTTATTTATGAGCCAAGTACTGTGGCAGGTGCCTGCAGTCCCAGCTACTCAAGAGGCTGAGACAAGATCACTTGAGCCTACGAGGTGGAAGTTTCAGTGAGCTGAGTTTGTGCCACTGTACTTCAGCCTGGGGTACAGAGTGAGACCCTGTCTCAAAAAAGGAAAATTATGTAAGTCTCCTCTATTACTCCCACAGGCCCTGGGATTGTCCCTATTTTTTCCCCATATTTCCAATGAGAATATTTGTTGCGCTTTCTCAAGTAGCTAATTTTTTTTTCATGTTTCCAATGAGAATATTTGTTGTGCTTTCTCAAGTAGCTAATTCTCTGATTTAACAAACAAACAAAAAAAGAAAAGTTTTTTTTTTTTTTTTTTTTGGGGGGGTGTGCGATTGGCATCTTGCCATGGTTGCATGCTTCTGAAGAAGTGAGCTGACAATCTGGGAAGGGATTCATGTGAAGATAAATTCAGTGGGGTTCTGTAAGGTGTAAATCTAGCACTGTTGTTACTATATTTGTTAATGTACAATTTGATCTGAGTTTGAAAAGGGGCAATTATAACAGAGCAGTTAAAATATGAAACACCCAGTGTCTAGTGCCAAGTCTTAGGAGCACAATAATCATTTTTAAATGAGATTATTTCAGAATCAAGTTATTGAAAGAACCCTTTGATCAGGGCATAACTGAAATCTCTTTGGTTCTCATTGTTTCTTAATCTAATCCAATCAATGAAATAGGAATACCAATTTATTATTCATCTTGCCAGTAGTAAGGGGGGTCATAGAAACACATAGGGCTGAGTTAACAGTCTTTAAATGTAAATAAGAAGCACCTTGGTTGTCAAGAAGAATATACGTATATCTGCATGTAAGTATTTATACATAAACTTACATGAATCTTGTTTGTTATGGAATCAGTAATGTAGCATGTAAGTATTGAAGCTTTTAGTAGAAAGTAGCCTGTATTTTGCTGCTCATATTTTCTTAAAAGCTTTTGAAAAAATCTAGCTCATAAAGTGAATATTGGTTCCAAGAGATGTATCTGTATATAGCTCTGTGAGATATAGCAGTTTCTGAATGGGTATACCGTTTCACAAAGAGAAAATGTCAGGCTTAATAACCCCTGTATGGTATTAAAAGCCACTAAAAAAATAGAAAACAATGTTGGGATGGTGCTATTGCAAAATAAATACCATATCACATATTCTCTAAATGATTAATGAAGTTATAGCATCACCGTAAATGTCAAAAATGTCTAGAAGAATACTGATGTGATGGGGCTTTAGCAAAGCATAAATAAGGAGCAGGAGCAGGAGCAGGAAGCTTCCCTCCCCACCCCCGCCGCC